GTCACACAAATGTAAAGCCTATGAAGAACATACAGTCACTTCATGCCCACTAGTAGTAGCATGAATTCCGTCATGTGTCCGAGGTCTGAAATAGAAGAACAGACAGTCACTTCATGCCCACTAGTAGTAGCATGAATTCCGTCATGTGTCCGAGGTCTGAAATAGAAGAACAGACAGTCACTTCATGCCCACTAGTAGTAGCATGAATTCCGTCATGTGTCCGAAGTCTGAAATACCACATGGCAACAGTGAAGATCTCAAAGTTTTGGCTAGTCATAGATAATCCAAGTGAAAAACTGCAGTAAAACTCCAAGTGTCAGTTAGGAGTTATATGCAAGACTGTGAAGATCTCAAAGTTTTGGCTAGTCATAGATACTCCAAGTGAAAAACTGCAGTAAAACTCCAAGTTACAGTTAGGAGTTATATGCAAGACTGTGAAGATCTCAAAGTTTTGGCTAGTCATAGATACTCCAAGTGAAAAACTGCAGTAAAACTCCAAGTGACAGTTAGAAGTTATATGCAAGACTGTGAAGAGTCCTCGTGAAACTGGCACTGCTAGTAATAGAAGTAATCAAGGTAGAAAATCGAAACTCTACTGGAGTGCTGTTAAGTGTCTCAGAGCATGTTCTTTGAGACATAGACGAGGGTCGAGTATAAATCTTCCCAACCTTACATGCAAATACACGTGTGTGAATGTTACCCTGAGAATAATAAGATACGCATTAATAGGAAGTGGTCTTAAAGAGCGTATGACGAGAAGAGACAACCAAACCAGAAGGTTGATATGGGTGTCCGACCACGAGCAATGGAATGAGCAAAGCTGAAGACGTGCACTTTTTATAAATGAATACAAATTTGAACGTTTGGCAACAATCAGCGACAATTTGTTCAACGGTGGAAAGGATAATAGTATCGTAGTCAATATACAACATCGACAGTGAAGCAAGTTTGGGGTTGAGTCTCAGCCATTTCTCTTGGTGATCTACACAAAACTGATGGCGTCCTGACTGCTGACAAGTACAGGCAAATTCTGATCTATGATGCCATTCCCTCAGGAACACGACTCATGAGTGCTGGATTCATCTTCCAGCAAGACAATGATCTCTACCATATAAAAATGTGGTGAAAAAGTATCTTGACAGTAAAAAGACTGATAGAACACTCAGTTGTAGCCAGTTGTGGGGTCACAAACCTAAACCTTCCACACATCGTTTTCAGCCAGTTGTTGACGTCGCTCATCCAAACCTTCTATGCATCGCCTGCAGCCAATTGTGAGGTCACAAACTAAATCTTCCATACATCGCCTGCAGCCAGTTGTGAAGTCCCATACTAAGACTTTCAAACATTATCTATGGTTACCTGTGAGGTCACATACTAAGACTTTCAAACATTATCTACGGTTACTTGTGAGGTGACACATTCTTGAGGCTGTAATGGGTTACTTAAAACTAAGAAGGTTAAAAGACAACTAAGCAGCTTTACTGAATTGTGGAGAGTAATACAGAACATTTGAAAAAATATTCCACAGTCAAATCTTGACAAACTGCTTTTGAGCATGAAAACAAGGTGTAATACTACTTGTAAAACAAAGAAGACATGTGAAATAATAATGCGTTATAAAACATAATATATTTTCTGTTGTAATTACTATAATAATGTTTTGTACCATCAGTAAATTCACCATCTGGCTGTTATTGCTTGTGGTTTCTTTATGTATCGCATATGTGTTTTCATAATTATTTCCATTACTGTATGTATTTTAGTGTATATTATTTGTATTTTAAGCCTGAATAAGACTAATAAGTTCGATCGAAGATCTGTAAGGTTTAAGCATAACCACTCATAATATATATAACTGTTGACCTGAAGGAGAGCAACCGACCGGCAGCATCAATCGCTTACACGACTACTCTTAACGAGATTTACTGTACTGTTTACAATGCCTCACTGATAAAAGTGTGATTTACTGTACTATTTATAATGCCTCACTGATAAAAGTGTAATTTACTGTACCATTTATAATGCCTCACTGATAAAAGTGTGATTTACTCTACTATTTATAATGTTTCACTGATAAAAATGTAATTTACACTACCATTTATAATGCCTCACTGATAAAAGTGTAATTTACTGTACCATTTATAGTGCCTCACTGATAAAAGTGTGATATACTGTACTATCTATAATGCCTCAATGATAAAAGTGTGATATACTGTACTATTTATAATGCCTCACTGATTAAAGTGTGATTTACTGTACTATTTATAATGCCTCAATGATAAATGTGTGATTTACTATACTATTTATGATGTCTCACTGATAAAAGTGTGATTTACTGTACTATTTATAGTGCCTCACTGGTGAAAGTGTGATTTACTATACTATTTATGATGCCTCACTGATAAAAGTGTGATATACTGTACTATTTATAATGCCTCACTGGTGAAAGTGTGATTTACTGTACTATTTATAATGCCTCACTGGTGAAAGTGTAATTTACTGTACTATTAATGCCTCACTGATAAAGTGTGAAGTGTGTTCAGCGGCATATTGCGAATTGAACTTTGGCTATTACCATTTGCAACTTTACACACTGGAATCCCACAGTGAGACAGCGGTAAGTCTAAGGACGTACAAGGCCAAAATCCGGGATTCAATTCCCCACAGTGGACACAGTAGAGAGCCCAGTTTGACTTTACTCTAAAACAAACAAACAAAGACTGACCACTAGGTCACACCCAGTCCGAGTGTGTGGATGAAAGGAAGTAAAGTTGGGCTTATATGCGATAGTGTATGGAATATGTACTGGCATTGAGTAATTAGTGAAATATTTCTAGTTGCAGCGGAAGGAAGTAAAGATATATATATCTGTTAGAGTATGGAAAAAATTGCAGCTGAACATGCTTGTTGTTAGCATGTAAAATGAACTTAAATAAATGAAAGCATGTTACTCATACTCTATGAAATATGAGCACACACACACATCTAATAGTGTAGGATCAGGCGTGGCCGAATGGTTAGCATGCTTGGACTGTGAATAAAAGGGTTTATGGTTTCTGGTCTATTGCCATACAATGCTTTGAGGCCACAGGTACATTATAAGAATGACTTTCAAATCCTAGAGTTGGCAGGGGGTGCTGTTGACTAGCTGCTTTCCCTCTAGTCTATAAATTAAAATTATACGATTGTGCGGAGATAATCTTAGCGTAGCTTTGTTCGTAACCTCTAAAACAAGCAACCAAGCTGAAAGTATATCCATAACCGAATGTAAGTAATGGGAGATACATATCTGGTAATGGACGAAAGTAATGGTGACATATGTATGGTAATGTATAGAATATAACCATAGACATATGTCTGGAAAGGCATTGAATAATGTAAAAATTGACATATATCTCATACTGATGCAATACAACCTCTTAGTGGTATTTCAGGACATTTAAAGATATATCTGATATTACTGTATATGGACAAATATCTGGTAGTGTATGGAATATAAATATCGATATACATATGTGATAACGTATGGAATTAATTACAAAAACACACTTTTTAATGCTGACTGTGCTTTTATTACAAACTTCATATGAGAATGAATCTACTTCCATTTTGCCGCATATGGAAATATTTATCTATATATGCTATTAAACACGTGTTAAAGCGCATGCGCTATGTCTTTTGCATAGACAGAACACTCACGTGAAACGATAAACTCAGGTATTACCAGCCCCTCACATTTCTACAATATAACAATACTTTTATCTTATGGTTCTTTGTCGCTCTCTTACATTTCATATTAATGAGACGATATTCGTAAAAACGATAATATTTAATAAACTGTTATTCTAAAGTGTTACACATTTTTTTATGACAACGTTTCAAGTCAATATTTGAAGCCATAGGACGGAAAGTTTTTTCAGGGTAATTTAAAGCATGTAAGTAAAATATATAATCGTTGAAGGCTTAAGTTGGATATTTATCTGAAATGCTTGTTCTCGTAATAGCATAAGACCTAGAATATGTATTTTGCCGTTATAAAACTTAGATATAAACTCAAACGTATCCAAAACATATTATCAGGATAACTGAATATTACACGTTTAATTAAGTCATGAAATTTTTCTCCAAAATAATTACTTGCTGAAAAATTACTCTTAAGATAAAGATATTACGACTTCTATGGTGTGTACTGTATGTCGTACAGAGAAAGTTCTGATAAGATTTCGTTTTAAAGAAAAGAAAACAACTGTTTATGTTTTCTGTAAGTATTTTTTTAGTGTGTAGTTGTTTAGGAAAATCAATATCAGTGACATTGAGAAGACTAATCTCAAAATCCTTTAATCTGATGTTATATCGACTTTCGAATAAAACAGCTGTAAAACGCTAGTACCATAAAAACTGCCAACGTTTAATTATACTTGTCTTGCAACTCTGCAAGAGGTACAATCATCTCTTTATTGGTGAACGAAATTGTTGTCATTTTTAACACAGAAGTATTTTGAGTATTTATAACACAGCTTCAAGTTTTTAGGATACCTTGTAAAATTGAAAGAAAATGTAAATCAATATTTTATTTGCTTTAAACTTTAAAATTAATTTTGGTTATGCTAGGGGATGCTTTATATTTAATTTTCCTAAATAAAAATCTTAAAATTATTGATTAATATTATTGTTATTTTCATTTATACTGCTTTCAATAGAAATTTTACAAATTATTTTGGTTATATTGCGGAGAAGTAAACTGTTTCTAAAACTATAATCTGTAGATATACATATACATAGAGAGAGAGAGAGAGAGGGAGAAAGATAGAGAGATAGATATAAAAATTATATTTATTTTTCCATTTCATTTTTCTGTAATTTGAGTTTTAGTAAACAATCCGTTGAAAAGATTATAGCGAAAACTTTTCTTTTTCGTAAATACCAAAGTGACTTGATGACGCATGTATTTATTAAAAGATGCTCTTTAAAATAACATTTACAGCTCTCTAGAACAGTCTTTACTTCAGTTACATTATGTTTTCTCTTAATAATATCCAGGTTTTGCTAAAAAAGACAGCACTGTTGTTACGGAGATTCACAAATGCAATACTAGAACTTCAAAACGGTTTGGTACATCTTAGTCGAAGTTCAAACAATTTGATGAAAAATGTGTTAATATGTGGTTTTAGGTTTCTTTTTTTTTTGGACAAATTATTCTCTTCTAGACAGTAGTAATTTATGCTGAGAAGAAAACGCGACCGTTCCGATGAGGTGATCATGAAACCATGGGTCGTTGTTTATGACTTTTGGGATCCTTAGCCGGCGTAGAGGCCCTCCTCATTGGAAAACGGAAGCCACGATCATCTTTTACTTTACGGCGTCCATATGTGAGCTGCTTGAGAAACAGACCTTTACTGCTCATGTCATGCTCGTTATATCAATCATTTCTTGCACAGCACTCATCCGCAGCACCGCTGACAACTTCAGTCTTTAATTTTGGTCGCACAACCAGATCTGTTCATCTGGAAAGACTAACACATGATACAGAGGCCAGAAATTAGTTTGTATGGAAACAGCATCATTTTTATTTCTCAGTAAAGATTCTGTTTTGAGAAATTCAGAAGAGAAATCGACCCAGAATGAGCCACGTCTCTAAGCCTACTTATACGACACTTGCAATTAAACGGCTAATTTTGTTCCTACTGTGTGCATTGCATGCACATGTGAATTTGCTTTATCTATGGGCTATATGAATAAATACATTTACATTACAACTATGTTTTATCAGTTCTGTACAGCAAGACCCTGCATAGCTCGGACTTACGATTTACTAGCACTAGCAGGGTACAACAAAACAAATCAACAAAACATATAATTATCATGTACTGATTACACACAGTCTGAATTTGATAGATTGATCGAACTTAATAGCAAAGTTCGGGATCGCAGATTCGTTCGTAAACTCATCAGTAGCCCGTAAGAATACGGAAAACTTCGAATTGCATATTTACAAGCGACTAGTCAGTTATAAAGTTACCTTCGTAACAAATGCCTACAGACTGTTCGCTCCTTCAGGGGATGTTTCAGGGCTCGTAATACTTCCTACTAGTGTAACAAGGTACTATTTAACTCTTCAGATTATTATGTACAACATCATCACCAAATGGCTTCCACAAGAAGGGATATTGGTCCTTGGTTTCTGGAAGCAGTATCGAACCAACATCTGACATCCTTTGACCTCAAGCCTTGTGGGTCAGGTATGCATTAACATGCGTTAATGGAAGAAAAGTTTCATCTTCTGGGAAAGTTAGAGGGAGCTAAAACCAGTAGAGGTCCTTACCGGCCTCCTGTATTTGGCTTTCGAAACCTATGAAGATAAGAAGACATAGAATTGTTAGGACTGGCAATAGTAATTTCACTCGAAAAGATATACAAGTATCACAATACGGACTTTTAAAAAAATCAAAACGACTATAAATAGCAGAATATGTATTTAATAATTCGTATTAGGAAGTATATAAGTGCGACTGCTAAAACAGTATAATTATCCTATAACCAATAGTGAAATGAACTCTATAAAGACTTTTGCCAGAATTCGGTGATTTACAAAATGATGAAGTTTCAGATAAAAAACAGCATACAAGAAGAGCGAAAGGTTATTTGATGTATGTCATGATAACTGATTTTAAGTGCTTTAAAATATTACATGGTTGTTTAAACAGGTAGTAAACATTTGAATAACTTTGTTGCATTACAATTTTGTTTCTAAAATAAACAGTTGCTTGTTATTTATATGTAAACACTCATGGGTAAAATTAGTTTTACGGTTTGATTTTATTTCAAATAGAAACATTACTAAACAAGTTTGCTTTGTTTTAGATTACAACCACATAGGGCTTTCTACTGTGTCTATAGCATGCATCGAACCTCGGATTTTAGCGTTGCAAGTCAGTAGACTTAACGCTGTCCCATCGGTGGGCTACTTAATAAGAATTATGCTTCTACCCCATTTGAGCTATCTGGTGTGGAGAATCGAGCCTCGAATGTAAGCGTTGTAAGTCTGTAGGCTCACAGCTGTCCAATCAGTGGACTACTAAATAAAAGTTATGCTTTTATCACAAATCTCTTAAAATTACATTTCAAAAAACGATAAAAATAAACGATCTTAAGTCGAGATGGTTCAGTTGTGCTGAAAAATCATATCCTACTTAAGCAGCTGTTCACCAAGTATCGTTGATCAAACTCATCAAAATATATTGTTTGACCTTTAATCTTTAAGCTACAAAGCCTACTTTAAGAAATGAAATGTCTTGGAATTTGTATAAAGTTGTTTATGGGACGAACTCTCGGCAGAGACAAAATCAAACTAATGACAAAATATTTTGTACACGTTAAGCAGAGAAAATTGTATTGTAAATATCATACCTCTCGAACAACAATACTTTAGAGGTTCTATAAATAAACTTAAAAGCTATTTAATCTGTTGAATCATTCCCAAAATTCTATCCTAATGTTCAAATAGCAAGTTTTTCCTAGAGAGATAGCTCTTTGATAAAGAACACAATTGTTAACCAATCTTCATTTGTTGGAATCACCTGCGGAAAGAAGTTGTTCTTTAGAAGTTTCCTCGTCATTCGTCAGTGCAAAACACGTGCCACCGTTGCACCCACAAAGGGGTTGGCGTTTAAAAATAACTTGTATTTCACAAAATTAAAACATTGAGAACTTATAATAATGTTACTATAATATGAAATATAAAATAAAAATAATATAGTCACAGCCTAAATTTCAAGATTTGCAATTATAACGCCAGAAGTGGATAATTATCAGATATCTTTTCACTCTACCAGCTGTAAATTCAGGCAAATAAATCACCTCGAAGCAACTCCCTCCTATTTCTTTGACTGGTCAACTATATATATATGCTCTTAGAAAATCACAGTTTTAATACTAACGATCCCCTGTCGGCAACTTTGTTTCCAGATCTCGAACATTATAGACCTCCATGACATATAAACACTTCTTGTTTGGAATGTTATAATGGTTGCGCCAATATAGTTAAAATGTTTAAGATATGAGACTCTAGACATTTGAAGGGCTATATATATAAGGAATGTTGATAGCCGAAGTAGCTTCAAATGGTCATTCTGTTTTGAAAATGCTTGCTTATCAGGAATTGAATTATCTTAAGAAAAGTAGTAATTCGTCCTGACAGTAATTTGTAATTAATTAAGTTTGACTTCGAAAATAGTATAGATGTAGATGTAACATAACAGTGCTATCAAAGTAAATGAAAAAACATATCGAAACACTTCAGAAAATTCACCAGGGGTACAGAAGAAAGAAAAGAAGAAAAAACAACAGAATAATTCAGTTTCAGTTAAACTGAAGCCACGGGTAAATTAACCGAAAGAAAGACATAACACGATTCACAAAATGCCCAAATTGCTGTTAAATGGAACCGAAGTTTCGCAAAAGGGGGCTTCCTATAAAAAATTAAAGAAGATGGTACTAACTGATGATCCAGGTTCATGGTTTGTTTGTAGTTAAGCGCAAAGCTACACAAAGGGCTATCTGTGCTCTGCCCACCCAAAACGACGTACTTGTTAACAGAATGTGTCTAATCTACTTGAAAATTAAAAACGCGATGTTTTGCTTTAACTGTAAACAATCCTTAGCATTCAATACATTATTCTGTAAAGAGAGGTTTTCTGATCGGCGGAATTTGAGATCCGGATCAAAATAGCATGACGTTCAATGCTTCACTATGAAAACAGAGAGAAATAGTATGACGTTCAATGCTTCACTATGAAAACAGAGAGAAATAGTATGACGTTCAATGTTTCACTATGAAAACAGAGAGAAATAGCATGACGTTCAATGCTTCACTATGAAAACAGAGAGAAATAATATGACGTTCAATGCTTCACTATGAAAACGGAGAGAAATAGTATGACGTTCAATGCTTCACTATGAAAACAGAGAGAAATAGTATGATGTGGAAAATCGTTTAACATACCATGATAAGTAACTAAAATTAGGAAGAAATAAAAAACGGAGAAAAAGCGACGATGAAAGTTTCTTGATCATATTATCACACTAATCTAATAATTGGCTGAACATAATTTCTATTTTCGAGAAACCATTGAAACAAGTCATAGTCTAAACAATGTATTCTGTAGGACAAATTTAATCATTAGGTAGATTTGATCCACTATTCCAGGATCGTGTGAGTAAAATAGTAAAGATAAACAATTCATGCTCGTCATTTAACGCATATGATAAGATATGAGTTAATGATATGTATGTTTAAAACGTGCAGGGAAAATTGTCCGTATAAAATAATGGAAAATTATTCCGTGCTTTTGGATTGTACGCTTGATATCAGCTATCAGGAACAATCACCTTGAATTCTCTGATTTGTCATCATTGACGATATTGAACTAATCATCGAAACAGCAAGTGATCGGATCCAAATATTACGAGACAGCTTCACTTGAAAGTCATGAAGTTAGTTCTTTTGGAATTTTTTCTTAGAACTCGGTATGAATTTATTTATTCTATTTAGTAAACTGAGCCGCAAGTAGGCGTAGTTACAATTAAATATTGAACAACTAGTCCCATTCATAAAAGAATACCGCGAGAGTGGATTTACACCGGTCGTAATATCAGTCAAAGAGCTACCAGAATTTAAAACTTTCTTTTCAAATCAAGCGTATTCGTTAACAGAAATCCAAAAAATTCGATCCAAAGGAACCGATGATCGAATAGTTGATCCGCTAGAATATGTTAGAATTGAATACTTATCATTTACAAAACAATGTATTCAGTAATACCGACAAACGATTTGAATTTTACCAGTCTCGCAATTAAAACTTTTGTGTGTTTTTTTATAGATTTAAGGACATGAAAAAAATGATCCACTTAAACAGTACGGAGATCTTCAACTTTTGCTTCAACGTGGAAATTCTTTAAATATAGATGGCGTGATAGGCTTGTTTTGTTGTTAAGGGCAAAGTACACAAACTGACTATGTTATGCCATCTCGAGTATTGAAACGCAATTTTTAACGTTATAAATTCTTAGCCTTACTATTGAGCCACCAGAGAGATAGATGTTGTGAAAGTATGCGAAGAACTTGAAAAAAGTCCTTTAATATATGTGCAAAAATAATTATAATGAGCGATATATGTATTGAAACATATATATATCTTGAACAGTACTCCAGACACTTTTCAAATGGCAATTGTCCAAAGATTGCTTAACGTAAACCGCAAATCAAGAGCGTTTTTGGACTTTCAATTGTTTCTACAATGATGCATCAAGAGCTCTATATTGTTCATAAATTACTGAAGATTTCGCATTTAAAAACCAGTCTAACTAAAAGTTTGTTTTTGAATTTCGCGCAAAGCTACACGAAGGCTATCTGTGCTAGCCGTCCCTAGTTTAGCAGTGTAAGACTAGTGGGAAGGCAGCTAGTCATCACAATCCACCGCCAACTCTTGGGCTACTCTTTTACCAACGAATAGTGGAATTGACCGTCACATTATAACGCCCCCACTGCTGAAAGGGCGAGCATGTTTGCTAACTAGAGGTAGCATTTGGATGTATGAACGCAATTTTTATTGGTAGAATCAAGAAAATGAGTTTTTCTTAAATTATTATGAAGTTTGATTTACTTCCATACAATGAAAAGTATAATTTTGTTTGTTATTGTATATTTATCTATATAATTACAACTGTTGTTATTTTGCTTTTTTACTTAATATTGCACTTGTAAGTCTACGTACTTACAACGCTAAAATCCGTGGTTCCTCGAGGTGGACACAGCAGATAGTTTAATGTAGTTTTGTTCTAAACCAAACTTTATATTGTGCAATGATGTGAATTATTTATTGCTATTATTTTATATCTGGATAATGGAGGTTAACGATTTCAAGAACTTTATTTCAAATTTTATTCTGAGGCTTCGTATTTCAGTTGGAGAATACTTCTCCAGCCGAGAGCTATATCCAGGTCTACATTTACTTTCCCAACCTAGGATTATATCTAAGTTTACACTGCCTACCTTTATAAACGTGAATAATGTATCCAGATTTGCAATGGTAACATGTGTGTGTGTGACTATGTATTTCTTCCTGATTACAGATGGCCATGTGGTTAGGGCGCTCGACTCACAATCTGAGGGTCGCGGGTTCGAATCCCCGTCACACCAAACATGCTCGCCCTTTTAGCGGTGAGGGCGGTATAGTGTAACGGTCAATCCCACTATTCGTTGGTAAAAGAGTAACCCAATAGTTGGCGGTGGGTGGTGATGACTAGCTATCTTCCCTCTAGTCTTACACTGCTAAATTAGGGACGGCTAGC